ACGCGATTTGAGTTCTGTATGTGCTGTGTCTGGGTTTCAGCTGGCCTGAAACCTGGAAACAGCACATGCAGGACTCAAAACCCGGACTGTCCAGTTGAACCCGGGACAGGTGGCAACCCCAGGAATGGTATGCTCTGTAGTCTCATTTGCTCTCCATGTCGGCAGAGCAATGTTGATGCTTATGATGTGTCGCTGTATATCTCGCATCACAGGAAAGGCCACTGCTGTGAATGAGCCGGGTGAAATCCACGTTTCTGTGTGCTGAAGGCTGAAGACATTGGTTTGCACAGAGGAGTAGCATTCTTGCTTCGCAGCACTGGGCTTATGGATTCAATTCTTACCAGCAGAATCTGCATGGAGCCTCTGCCTCTTTGCCTTTACCCAGCACTGTTTCCTTCCATGTTTCATAAACATGCTGGTGATTTAACGCTGAACTTCAGCCTCAAAAACGTTGTTTTAACACATTCCACAATAGCCACAGAGGATACAAATCCATTTTGTGTGCACCGAATGCCTTTGCAAATCTAGTTATTACCCTTTAAACAAAGCAGTGACTTCATCACTGTGCTGTACATGGCCTGTGCAGAAGGTAGAGTTGTGGGAGGGACCCAACAGGTCCCACTCACTACAGGCTGCTTGCAGAAAACTACAGGAGGGGGCGGTGACCAGACCAGTCGCCCTGCACAAGGAGAGAGAGCAGCAGTGACCGGTCTTTATTACAGGAAGCTCCAAGTTTCACACTAGATTACTGCACAGATCTTGAAGAAATACACAAAGCTCACCAAGATTCAAATAAAGAATACACAAGTCTCTTGTATTTAGACAATATTTGCTTATCCTGGAGTCCAGCTTTAAAGTAGACGTAAGCCCTACCTGAATGAGTTTGGTAAAGCACTATATCGTATACAATTTTATTAATGCATTTAAAAAAAAATCCTTTCTACTTAGAGCTGCTGATCTCCTGCAGCCTCTTTGCAGCAGTTTCCTTTCTACATGCATGCAACTCAGCAGCTGTAGCACAACATTGCTGAGGAGTGGACCACGGTTGCACAATGTGTGTATGGAGTTTTTATTGGAAGAGTGCGTGTGAAAGGTTGGCAACGCAGGAGCTCAACTAACTGTAAGACGAAGACTGAGCATTTTCACCCCGTAACAGGAAGTGCTTAAACAAGGCCCTTGGCAGGATCACCAGGTACTACATGAGTGTCATTCACAGCACATATACATTAACATTTTACTGATGATGGGAGCTGCAACTTGTTTTTGCCAAGATGCATTTTTACATGTTTTGTGAATGAACCCTTAGGACCCATTCACACCAACACATCGCACATTGGTGTGCCATTAATGGTGCGGTGCGTTGTGCTGCTAGAAAATATGTGGGTTACCATGAGCTGTGGTAATGTGCTTAAAGCAGAACTCCAGGCCAATAAAATCCAAACCCTTGCATTGGGGCTACACCGGCACTGCAGGAGTTAGAGGAACTTTACCCATATCTTCAATATAACAACAAAAGCACCTTTTTAGAAATGTTTAGTAATGACATTCTACAAACACATACTGCTAGATAATTTATTCTTTGCATACGTTATTTCTCTTTTCTTCCCACAGTGGCCATTTTAACTAAGGGCAGATGAATCCATCTCCCTTCCTGGAACTCTGGCACATGTGACTAGGACATGTGACCATGCACATCATCTCAGGGGAGGAAAATGCCTTTCCCTGAGACCTCATGAGATTACAGATGAGATTTCCCAGCAATGCTCTGCTGATGTAATCTTCCCAGGATGCAATGCTTGGGCACATGACATCATTTTTTTGCAAAAGAAAACCAGGAAGTGAGAAAAAAGAAATTGTAAGCAAAATAAAAATGTTTGTTTAGCTAACGACTGTAAGATGATTTCATATCCGGAGCTGAATGCTGATGTGATTTTTAGTCAAAGGGGGGTAAAGGTCAATTTTAAGTGCTCATTTTGTCTAGCAGTCCCTTCAGCTTTGCTCTCCCTCCACTCCAGCGGTCTAAAGTCCTGTGAGTTATCATATTCTATACAGTGCATACGAGGAGGCTAAGGGACATTCATTCCATTGCTGGAGCGGAAGAGGAGACACGCTGAAGAGATTGGTCAAGGGTTAAGATTTGATTTGTACGGAGTTCTGCTTTAATATTTGTATCATTGTAGCTGATTGCACTTCTTGTAAGTGGTCATTCTGGTGTAAAATTCGTCCCAAATTAATAATACTTGGTATGCATTTTGCTGACTTGGCTGAAATTTGGCCCAGTTGGTGCCCCCCCTGTTCTAACAGAGTTATTTTTTTCATTTGTCTTTTGTTGAAGCAAGTGGTCTAAAAATCTTTAGCTGAACAGTTACTGCGGCCAATTTGCTGCGCTCACTGTCTGGGTAGTCCTGCTAGCGGCATTCTCACAGTTGTCAGAAAACGGCCCGGTAAAAGGATTCCACCATCCACGCTGTTTAGCATGGGAGAATTGATCACTTTTCTCATGGCCCATGGTTCATGTTCAGTTCGGGGGAATAGAGTAAGTAAACGATCAGTGTGAGAGCCCAGGGCGGTTGCGGATCAGCATGGTTACCCCGCTGATTTCAAAAGGGAGGTTTTGGGAGTTTTTAATTGCGTTTCAAAACCACGCTAATTAGCGCAGTTCCATTGAAAGCTGTATGGAAGCTGCACTGATCAGCGCGGCAAAAATAGTGCAGGGAGCAGTTCGGGCGGGGGGCGGTTTGGATCACGCTGATCCGTGCGGTCGCATGAATGGTCTCTATAGCAATGTATGGGATCGTTCATGTCGGCGGATCAGCGGGGCAGAATCACCCTCGTATGAATGGGGCCTGACTCTGGTAGAGGTATTAGATTGTAAGCTCTTTGGAAGCAGGGGATGATGTCGGTCTATTAGGCCTTGTTCACACCAAGTGCAGAGCAGATCAGTTGCAGATCGGATCAAAACTGCGTCCAATGTATTCCAATGGTATTTTTTGCTCCAGTTCACATCGCAGTGTGCAGTTGCAGAGCAGATCCAGAGCAGGTGAAAAAACTGCAGCAGTCCCTATTGTACCTGCTCTGGATCTGCTCTGCATCAAAAATGCATTCAAATGCCTGGAACGCACTGAAAGCCCATTTTAAACTGATTTTATTTTATTTTTTTACCGAAAAGAGCCCAGAACGCATCAAAAACACGTCAAAAACCCGTCTAAAAGACTAGCGTGCGTGTGCAGAAACCTGACCGGATCTGCTCTGCATTTGGTGTGAACAAGGCCTAAAGCTCTGTGAGATGCTGACTCTGATTAAATACAGAACATAAATAAGCCATCCAGTCCATGTAGACTTCCAGCTGTTTGGCTGAGTGCCCCCAATATCTGTATCATTGTAACGGATTGCTCTTCTGGTGTGTAATTCATCCTGAATTATTAATACTTTGTGCACATGTAGCGGAGAGCATCCCACTCCAAAGATTTATTTTTTAGAAATCTTACAGAAAATGACTTTGGGTTTCCTTCACCGTTGCATAAAATTGAGGGTGAAAGGGCCATGCACATGTGACGTCCGCGGTCTTATTTTATCTGTCCAGAATGAGCAAGTGTCGCCATAATTACAGGCTTACCGGTAACATGAACATGGCCCCCCCACCCCCCTGAGTCATTCTGTGTCACCTCTACCCTACAAAATTCACCAATTCTTTGGCTTCCAGCAGACCTTCCTAGCTAGTCTCTGCCCGTACGCTATGGGCTTTAAATGGCTTACAAGTCCTTGGCCGCCAATCAGATTCCAGCTTTTTTGTTTATTGTGCTGGCTACAAAATAAAAGGGGGACATCCAGTGGCCTGTCGTGGAAAATACCTCTGCGCTTGATTCTTCAGGGCTTGTTCACATTAAATCCGGACCAGATCTGAATGTGTTCCTGCAGTGCAGTGCATTTTGACGCATTTTCGACACGTTTTTGATGCAGTCCTTTGGCCACCACAGAGTCCAGACCTTAACCCCATTGAGAATCTTTGGGATGTGCTGGAGATGACTTTACGCAGTGGTCCGACTCTCCCATCATCACTACAAGATCTTGGTACAACTCTGGATGGAAATAAATGTTGTGACATTGCATAAGCTTATCGAAACCCTGGTGAATGCGTGCCATAATCAAATCTAAAGGCGTTCTGACTCAATATTGTGTGGAGCTTTACCAGGCAGTATATTTTTATTTGTTCATTCACTTTCTGTATGATGCAAAACGTCACTAATTGCGTAGAAACGTGTCCAGTGTGAATGAACGGTGAGGCCCATTGGGTCTAATGGAAGAAAAGAGTCTGTTCCTGTAGCAGCCAATTAAATTGTCCCTTTCATATACCCATGCTGTACTTGGAGAGTGAGGATTAAAATCCAATTGATTCTTTTCCAGACACGTTTATACATTTGGCTCATTTATCATTTGGTTTCCTTTGTAGCAGGGACTTCTAACCGAAATACGTTTTTTGAGGCCGAACGTCTATTAATGATGTGCTGAAATAACACGCTGTGGTTTTATCATGCCGGGATGTGCAGCCAATGTGGATTCCTGTGAAGCGATGTGCTTATCTGAAGCCGATACCTCTGTGCTTGAAAGTCCGGCTTGGTTCTAAATAAAACTGCTGTATTAATAATGCTTCTGCTGTATAGCTGCGTTACACATTTCCATCTGTTCCTTTTAATCGAATTGTCTGCACTCTATCAAAATGTATTCTAACTGTTTTAAAAATAACTTTTAGAAGATAGAGAATCTAAACGTCATTCCCTCATCCATTCCAGAATAGAATTTTCCAGAGGTGATAGAAAAACACTGCAGGCCTCTAATAGATGCAATGGCTTAAGTAAGGAAGCATAGAAGCTTTAATAACGTATCGTGTACATTGCAGATTGCCAGGTTGTGAGATCGGGGACTGGCTGGGACTGTGATAACGCTAGGGTGTTCATATTGGGGACTGTCTGAAACTGACTGTTTGATTTTTCTGTCTGCAGGTGGATTTGCACTGGTCTTCCTGGTTCACACCAGCAATGGGATGCGGCGTGCTCTGAAGCGCATGTATGTGAATAATGAGCATGACCTCCAGGTTTGCAAGAGAGAGATACAGATCATGGTAATGACCTTTTTCTTAATGTACTAGAACAACTATGGTACTCTACATATGATGGGGCAGGGCCTTCCTTATAATGAGACAGCCTGAGGCTGTTGTTTCAGGTGTCATTTCTTTGGGTCATGTGGGGTGGCAGCAGGCAGGGCAGCATGGCTGCTCTTCTGCACTATGTTTGCAGTGCGCCTGCTGCCCCTTCCTGGCCAGAGCATCCCAGGTTGCTAAGAGCTGGGCGGAGAGATGTGTAAGGGCCATACATACAATATCTCCCCTCCCAGCTCTTAGCATGGGATGGTCTGGCCAGAAGTCACTGGTTGTCGAGAGCTAAACGGGAAGCTCTGGCTGAAGCCAGAGCTGGGGGAAGGAGGTACCAGAGGGGAGATGATGCAGATATAGAAGGTTTCATTATTCAGGAATGGAAACAGTGACACAGTTGGCCTATAAACTCCTTTACTCATAGTTTCCCCTTTCACGTAGTCCCCATCACGCTCAATACATTAGCTTTATTGCTCTACCCAGGCCCCAAATCTAGTGTTGCATCCAATCCAAACCCAAATGGCATGCTTGAATGTCGCCGTTCAATGTCTTGACAGTTTCAGATTCTCCTTTTTTACATTTCTTTACCCATTATATAACATTGCTCACGCCATTTTTTAAGCAAGTATAAAGCACTTAAAAATGTAAGCAGCCGTTTTTTAAATATTTTTTTTTTTAGTTATACAATGTAAATGGGGAGATGTAACAAATATAGAATAGGTGTTATCCTAATTTGACTGCACAAGTGGAACTACACTTTCAGAATCCAATAGATAAAGTGGCAGTCTTTCATTTAGGTAACTATTGCAGGTACGCATTGCAGGTACACATAGGCAGTGCAAAGATTTTTAACATTGCTTCTGCTATGGGCATCAGGAAAAGCTTTAGCGTTGGAGCCATGTTTGGCTCCAAAGAGAGCTGTTCCATTTATTGCACATATTCCCATATTATAATGGATAAGATTTGTGCAGTCAGAAGAATTTGTATCCAGTTCCGGAGTACAGGGATCATTTGGAAGGGGCAACACTAGATTAATGAAATAACGTCCAATGGATATTATTAGATGGCAATGGATAGCATTGTTATAATCTTGCCTTGGTCTTAATAGGGATGTCGTCCTTTTCATAGATTGCTTTGTTTCTTTGCAGAGGGATCTCTCTGGGCACAAGAACATTGTCGGATACATAGACTCCAGTATTAACTCTGTGAGCAGCGGAGATGTGTGGGAAGTTCTTATACTTATGGACTACTGTAAAGGTGAGATTTAAAGACTGCCCTCATTGTCTTAGACAGGTTGTTTGTTGTATGAGATATTGCACTTTTTGTTTAGCATGATCATGTGAGGAATTCAAGCTGATGTCTCAGCTTAAAATCAATTTCTGGTTTAATGATTGAGCTCATAGTTGAAATATGTTCCCATGATTTAACATAATACTGACTGTGCATGCACCTAGACTGCCCTCATCTATCTAAGTTCAAGTAAAATGCCAGCATAACTTCATTGAGTACACACTTTAACGTATTATTGTAACGTTTACATGTACGTAATGTAGACTATACATTCACGTTTTCCTTGGTGATCCATAATTTCATTGTGATATTTCATACACAGATATGGGTGAATAAAGATGCAAGCTTTCAAGACACCTTTGATCCCTTCTTCAGGCTTTTTTACATTATGTGTATCACCTAAATATCATACATTCTGCATTCATTGAGGGACAACATGGTACAAGACACTACTATTGATATCTAGATTTCTAAATATTCAATCTAGTGGTCACCTGAATATAACTTTCCCTATCTGTGTTCAGTATAGGAAATTTACCTTTATTCCTATCCTAGAGACACAACAGGAAGCAATAGGGCGTTCTCTAGAAAGTATGGGGAATTCCCCACTTGGACAGTTCCATTGGAACAGCTGTCCCCATTGGAAGATAAATCTTACCTCCTGTCCAGTGAAGCTGTAAAGGTTTACAAATCTAAGCAGTTTAGCGCAATCCATACAGCAGTCACACACCATCATTAAAAAGTGCTATGGTGATTGGGTGGATGGCGCCGCCAAAGCATTCGTCACAATTTAAGATATCACCAGCACACCATGTTCAGGTGAGAAGACCAGACACTTTGTCACCAACAGGAAGTTACATTTGAAAACCCCTTAAGGACCTCTTCCTCAGGCAGCAGTGACAGTAATCAGATACCAAAAACAGAGTTTAAATAGGCAGCAATGCCCAATCACAATCCTTCACTGATAGAAACTCCCACAGACAACCCACAATCCCAGTTAATGGACATAGAGCACAATCAGTGAGTAATAAATAGGTGCTATACATACAAATAAAGTGAGGACGCAACCCGAAAGGTACCTAGAGCAAAACCAACTATAGTCATTTATGTGCTATACATACAACCAATTTCATTAAGGATGGGATGGGTTTGCTGCACAATTTAAAGCAATATTAAACCTTCATTTTTCTTTCTTTTTTCATTTGATGATTAGTAGGCCCACACTGACATGAATCCCCTATTTTTCCTGCTCTAAATGTATTTAAGTCATTGTTCTCTAGCTGGTCTCCAAACCGCTAGCCCTCTTGGTCTTGTGGGTATGTCCATCAGATAGCCAGCTGCTGAGGAGTCCCCCGTGTGTGCATGCTAGCGGATGTGCCCGCGCCTAGCTGCATACGTCCCTAGATGCACACACCGTGCGGCAAGCCACCCTCCTGCTCCCTTCACTGCTTTCATGGTCACAGTTTGATGCCATGTCGCTCCTCTGCGCTCAGTACTCTCTCCGACAACCAGGAAGTTCGGGGAGCAACAATATCATCCCCGACCTGGCATAGGTGACAAGTGACCACAGTAAATGTATGGGGGACAGGGGAACATGGCAAGGTGTTAGGCATTTTTTATCTTAATGCAGAGAATGCATGAAGGTAAAAAAAAACGAAAAACGCCTGGCCTTTAGTATTCCTTTTAAGTTGTGCAGAAATTCCAATTTAGGACAGGAGGGTTTGCTGCACAAAGGAGAGAGACTGCAGTCAAACATGGCTGCTGTGTGGAACCAGTGCTGCCCTAGGGGTGGGTGTCTGAGTGGAAAACACAGAGGGTGTGTGTGTGTCCTCGTCATTTAGACCAGTGGTCCTCAACCTGTGTAACCTCCAAGGCCCACATTTGTCCTTGACCGAAGTTGCACTGCACTGGAATGCACGGCATTGCGGTACTGCGCATTCTGGTGCAGGTGATCCAAACTGACTGTGCGCGGGGGGGGGTCATGTTTCCAGTGCCATTCTAATGAATGGTAACACAATGCACCTCCTGCACCAAAACGCGTAGTAGGTGCAATTGTGTAGTACAGTGCGTTAATCTCGTGGGACTGTATGATTAACGCACTATACTAGTGCACTGACAGACATGCATAACCACAGACACAATCTCTCACACACTCCTTTTTTTTATTTTTAAGATCCTTCCCCCAGTCTCCCTACCTTGCAAGAACTGGAGTGGATCCTCACCCTGGATTTCAGTGTGGGCTGCTGTGCTGTGACGAAGCTCCATCCATATGTGCATTGCTTGTACAGGTCCATTGCGCGCTCCGTAGAGGTGTGCCGGGAGCCAGAATGGGACTTCACTCCGGTTCAGGCACCTCTACAGTGCGCGAGAGGAAGCTATAAGCCATGCACGTATGGATGGAGCTCCCTCACTGCCATGCCTCCATTCCACCCCACCTCAAGCTGACACTCCCAGCTGTGCAGCATATTTTAAATGGCTGCTCAGTGCGAGAACTGATAGTGCTGTGCTAGAAGGCTAAGGAGCCTCTCACCTAATGGCAGTGGAAGGCACATGGAGAAACCACAGATGTAGACCCTACCTTTTGCATGTGGAGCCTGACGGGTGTCAGAAACTATCGTCAAAGCCAAAGGGTTAATGGGATTTTGCTGCTTTATGACGTTGGAAGGGCAAATGCTGTCTGCTTTATCATATTTGATAAATTAAACATTCACAGGAAGGCCTAAAACGCATTCTGTGATGTGGACTGGCTCAAGCTTCTCAGTTTTAAGATGAACATCTACAAAAGTTGATGGACCTGACCTATAGAATGATATAGAGTGAAGCAGCAAAACAGCCATTTTGCACATTTTTTCAAGGTTAATGTGAAAGTTTGGCAGATGAGCTTTTTATCCCAAGGACTGTATAGGGGACATCAGCTGTGTTTGGAGGACAGAATGTCTTACCGTCCGTGTAGGAAGCGGTTCTTTACTTTGTAAGTGGTTAAGATGTGGAATGCCATTCCACGGAAGATGCTAATAGCAAAATCAATAATGGAATTCAAAATGGTTTAGGCAATTTTTTCTTTTAGCTAATTGTATCCAAAATCATTATTGCTAAAAATAGTAGTAGTGTTTTTTTGTTTTTTTGATTCGGGAGAATAATCTGGCTTTCACAAGTGAAGGAAAAAAAAAGAATCTGATTCCACAAAGCAGCTGAATTAGCTATAGCAGCCCAGGTTTTTTGTTCTGCATTCTGCCAAGTCTGCTGAGAGCCGTCGGCTTTCTGTTTTTTTGAAGACTAAATGACTGTGATGTAATCATTCCCTACCTGCTAAAAGAATGCAATTCTGTTCCGCCAGTGATCCAGCCAACCGTACATAATGTAGACTATACATTCACGTGTACACCATCTTGGAGGTGGGGAGCATGATGTCACATGGCGCCATGCATGCGTGGAGTCAGGTGACGTCACACCGATATAAGCGATGCCATCTTGGTGTATACCTAGATATACACCAAGATGGCGGCGCCCAACACGTGCGTTGTTTCATGACGTCATGCGCCCTGCCTCCAGAACACGCCAATGATGCGGCTTCTCTTCTCCCTACCGCTCGGCCATCCTGACAGCAGGCAGCGCTCCCTCCTGCCCCCCTCTCTTCGGGATCCGAGGACAGTGCTGAAGGGGGGGGCGGAGGAGGGAGCGCTCTCATGTCGGAGCGGTGAGGAGTTGAGCTGTGTCGTGCGCCCTTGTTGCCATGGCGCCCTGTGTGGCCGCACAGCTCGAACACCCCAAAGGCCGGCCCTGTGCATCATCCATCCAGCACATTTATTTTTTTAATCTTCTAAATCATGTTTTATTCACTTATATCCATCATCCATGTCCCTCGCCAGCGCCGTTTCGGTTGCAAAAGGCTGGCAATGCAGCACTGTAGATGTGATCTCGCCGACAGTAATGAGTCATGTACTTTGTGTTAAAATCACATTGCACATATATAAAAAAATTATAAAATGTTTGTATGCTTTGAGTGTGTACTTTGTACTCTATTACCGAATCCTATAGTTGTAATTTTTCTAGAAATTGGCAGCAGTCACAAATAAAACACTGAAAGAATAAAAAATATTCCAGTAGCACATTATTGATGTGTATCCCGCTCCTACATATATACGGCCTGAAAAATACGCTATCATTCTGCAGGTGGGCAAGTTGTAAATCTGATGAACCAGCGTTTGCAGACGGGGTTTACTGAGGCCGAGGTCCTCCAGATCTTCTGTGACACATGTGAAGCAGTGGCTCGCCTCCACCAGTGCAAGACTCCCATCATCCACCGAGATCTCAAGGTAACCAGCGGATCCCTCTTAAATAACACTGCGCCTTATTTTGATGGGCTTGGTTATGTTCCAGTAGGAGACAAATTGTTTTAGCTGCTGTTTTTTTTGGATTGTGTTGCCTGTCTCTGGAACCTAATCTGTTTCTCATGTTTGTAAAAATGCCGTGGCTGACTCCTTGGCTCATTACTGTCACCGTTTAATGAAGGGAAAATAATTCACGGAAATCATATTTATTTTTTTCAACCAATTTGCGGATTTAAAGGGTTATGTGAAGCCAAAACTTCTAAAGCTGACAGTTGTCTTCGGAACAAGTGTCCTCATTGAAAGATTTCCCCTCACCTCTTGTTCTGGGGAGATTTTGGATTTACTGGTAGCAATGGTCACCAGTAAAAACAGAGGACGGATCCCCCAATGGGGACTCTTATATCAATAAAAACTTGAGAGAAGGTCTAACACTTCCCTACAGTGTCCAAAACTAAAAAAAACAATGATTTCCTTTTATGCCACTTTTAAAATGAACTTGTGTTTTGCCCATGCCGAGCAGATCAGCAGGTTCTCTTAATTCACCCCCTACCCAGCATCACATTCTTACCTTTCCTTTTCTCCCCTGCTACTCTATTGGGCTGCCAGGACCCACAAGTATAAAATATGTTGCAATGGTAATCAAGGTGTGCTTACTTGGGGCCAAAAATTTTATTTTGTGGCCAAGTGGCCGAAATGGCCACTTGGCCTCAAAATTACATTTTTGGCCCCAAGTAAGCACACTCAGGTTGCAGTCCAGCCTCTGGGATGAACTGGGTAGGAAGCAGGTGTGGCTAAGAGTTAAGGATCTGAAGCCGCCACCTATTTTGCACCTGGTAGAGGAGTTTTTTTTAACAGACAGCACCCATATATGACAAAAAGGTTAATATTTCAGGCTATGAGTCTGACACAGATATGGTATTTCTAGATTCATACACAGCAAAATTGCCTCTTTTGATGGACTTCTCACATGGGTAGGCTGAGACCCTCCATTACCAACTTTCATCTATCTCTTAAACGATTAAAGATACCCTAGCTTTGTCTGCTGTATACTGAGAATAATGAGGGTACCTATACTAGAACCCCCAGATGTTAATCCCTGGATCCATATTTAATCTTTGATATATGAGCTTTAATATGAAGAGGCTTGGTTTCTGCTCTTTTGTTTGAGGGTCCTTTTTAGAAGACTCAATTCTTGGTGCCTCCCTGGTTAGGAGAGGTGATAAATACACCACCTAGGAATGGTCCAGGCAAAAGAAATCCCAAATACTAGGATGCTAACTGTGTTCTAAATCTCATTCACACTCTACGGCATTTGAGTCATGTCTTCCCTGTAACCTAGTTAACCCTTGCAACTCCATCATCCTGACACCTCTGCTGGAAGGTTGTCACGTGCCTATTACCCCCAATCACACTGATAAACAACATATTTTCAATAAGTCATAGCATCATGTCCACTGGACCTGATTTAATATGCTTCTGGGGAGGGGGGTCAACGCAAACCTGTTGATCTTCCCCCTAAGGTCTCGTTCACACCTAGGCGTATTAAATATGCGCGTCTGTCGCGTGATTTTACCGCGATTCGTATCCCAATAGAAACGCGCAACAAAACGGCCCAAAGTAGTACCTGTACCTTTTCAGGCGTGGGCTGTTTTGTAGCGCGTTAGGGACGGGCGAAAATACGCCAAGGTGGGAACGAGACCATTGAATACAATGGGATTTATATTTTTGAGCGTTTTGTAGAGCGTTCGTCGAGCGTAGAACGCGCTACAAAACGTTCAGGTGTGAACGAGGGCTAAGAATTAAAGGCATTCTCCACCTTTAAAAAAAAACGTGTAAATACACATTGATAAAAGAAAAACGTTAATTTCTTGTTGTTGTTGCTTTGGAGCCTGCAGAGCATTGCAGTTGCGATCTGTGGGTTGCAGGTGCAATGCTCCGGGTTGTACAGACTCTTTCCCCATGCTCTGGTCTATACCAAGGTACAGGTCTACCATTATGGGGCTGGAGGAAGTAACCAGTGGACTACAATTTTTAATTGACTTCACCACACTAGCACTCCATTGGGGGCTTAGTCTTTCTGCATATGGGGCTTGCAGTCTTCCATTTATAGATGGAAGGGTTGACGTGTCTATGTGGGCATTCGCACCAAATTCAAACCCAAACAGAAGCCTGTGGGAAGAACAACACCGCAATTAAGGTAAGATAGGGTTCTACCCTTAATATGGGAGTCACGTGAAACATGGTCATAAAGGTGGACTATGCTTTTAATTTAAACCTTTTATCTCCTTTAGTGTTTTTTTCCAGTTACTTGTTACCATTTTATACATAATTTTCACTTTCCAGCTTTCGGGGTCATACTATTACAAAGCTGGAAAAAAAGCAGGGCGGTTATTGGTGAAAGGGAAGGAAGCAAAGAAGTATTGATTGTGCTGGTCTTTATGAGTAGGCCGCTGTGTATCTAACCTCCTCCCATGCCAGTCTCTTTCAGTCAGAAATTCTGGTTGTCCCATTGTACTGTCTTAATTCTATTTATTTACTGAATCCAGAGCTCTGAACGCTGTCGTCTCTGGAAGAGATTAACAGGTCACATCTGTGGTGGATTAATACATTAATCCTTTGCTCTCAGTGAGTGTTACTGGCTGGGATAGGCTTTCTGCTTATTTAAGATGTGATGGAAGCACAAAATCTGACTCTGAAGCATTTATCGGGTGTGAAATCCCTCTCATCATTGACACAAGTGGTCTACGACAGCTTAATAGGGCAGTTTAAAAGGAACCTGTCAAGATAACAACGTGGGAGCGGCCATTGCTGACTTGTGTGTCCTGCAGGGCTGTTGTCCTTTTTCTGGTACTTGCTGGGTCACTAGCCTGGAGGAAGCATGTACAAATGGCTGCTGGTGCAGATGACATCCACATGCTTGTTATGGGTCAATGATCAAGGCTCGTATTTGACATGCATCTCAGTAATGCCTTTCCAGCAACAGAATTGCGACATTTCTGATAGTGTATCCTCAGGCATTTCTGTCTGAACCATTGATAATTTATTCTTCACCATTCTGCTATTGCAGGTTTACACTCAGTCATGCTGGACAGCAATGGAGTGATTTGCTACAAAAGGCAACACTGAATTATCAGTGTACAGTGTCTGAGAATACTTTTTTATAGGGATGCACTGATATATCGGCCGCCGAAACATATCGACCGAAAATGACACTGTTGGCATAATCCCGAAAGTGCAATTTTCTGGCCGATACATCGGTGCATCCGTGTATTCTCTCCTCCCCGCTGGGTGCTGCTCTGTGTCCCAGCGTGGAGAAGAGAAACTGTGACAGCCGGCCGATCGCTGCGGGAGGAGAGCGCTGTGAGTGGCCGGTATCTCTCCTCCCACACCGTTCAGCCTCCTATCGCAGATCGGCAGAGCGATGTGTTGACGGAGACAGCCAGCGCTGTCACAGCAGGCTGAGCTCCTCTCGCTCAGCCTCCTGTGACAGCTGTCAGGAAGGAGAGCGAGTACAAGCAGTCGGTGATCAGTGATCGCTGAGTGTTTGTAAATAATTGAGGACAGACTATTGTTACTATATCCCCAATTATGAATGCATGGGAAGTTATCTACATCACCTCCTGTTCATTCATGATTGTGGACATGGTAAACACACTCTGTTCTCAAGTTATGAATGAACAGGAACACTCAGTATAGAGGATTCCTGTTCATTTATAACAGGGGCTGCAGAAAAAGAGATTGAGGACTTTGTGTCCTCAATCTCTTTTTATTTTAAAAGGGAAATATCGGGGGTCTGTGTTAGACCCCTAATATTTCCCCGAAGCCCCTAAAAGTAAAAAGTTAAAATATTTAATAAAAAAATTAGAAAGTTTATAAAAAATAAAATATTTGAAAAAGTTAAAATAAAAAAACTTTTCGGTCTGACACTTTTTTTTATTTTTTTTTATTTCGTTTTTGAAATTTTCATTTCGGTGCGCCTCTACTTTTTTTGATATCCCTTTATTTCCGTTGCAAAAAACAGCTATAAAAAGTATTTGCTAGAGTGCCTATAATGACAGGAAAGCAGATGCACTGATAATGGGGCACAGCGCTAGCAGCAAAGCTATGATGAAGACTGCAGACCCACTGCTGACATCACTCCCAGAAGATTAAAGTGCTTTCCGTTGGCCGCACAGAGCCCATTGGTTCTGTTTCAGTCACGTTAAAAACAATAAACAAAAAGATTTCTAATGAAAAGGAAATATTAGAAACATTATGAAAGGCATTGGGGGAGAATTTACGTAAACTGTTGCAGACAGAATCTGGAGCAGCTGTGGAAAGTAACTAAAACAGCTTTTATTTTCAGTTTGAAATTAAAAGCTAATCAGTTGAATTGCACAGCTGCTGCAATCATAGTAAATGCCCCTCATTCTTCATCTATGACTAAGCCTGTGATTGGGTAAAACGCGGCAGGTCGAGCGGACCTTGAGTCGCACACCAGTGTTCTGGTACAAACTTCAATAAGCTATTCTAGTGAAATCCGGTGTGCGGCTAAGTTTTCTTCTGTTTTGTATGGTCTCATATTGGAGAGAGGATATGCGCCCAGCGGCAAGCACCCTGCTCATTCCTTTCCTGCGCTGTGCAGGAGCGGTGCTTCTTTCTGTGTGTTCTCCCCTTATTATCACTGTAAATAACTGTCATACTATTTATGAAAATCACCATTCTTACAATGTTGGAAGCAGAGTTTGTGTTGCTGGACATCCCCTGTCACACTGGTAATCATGTGGGTTGGGGAGCAGGGGGAGAGGAAGGAGCTGTCAATCATCATGCTGGTGCCACCCCTAAGCCAATGAAAATCGTCACATAGGGCAGCTTCCAGAGGAGAAAGAGGAAGTAAAAGGCTTCCTGTCAGGGTACTGGCAGAGCATGCACAATGAGGGTGGCGGCTCAGCCGCCAGAGGATGGGCTGCTGCAGCGTTGCCCTGACAGTAGGGAACCACATGGAA